ACACTATCATCTGAAAGCCAGCACATCAGCTGTTGTTTTTTTATTATAAATATTTATCAGTACTCAGTTGAAATAATATTATAACTCTAAATGCGATTTCCTCCTCGATTCAGCAAGAACTTCCCCTGATTTTCCAGATGCGAAATTCACCTATGATATGCTATATAATTTGAGTATTTTCTTCCAGAGGAACCAAGTTGGGATATGCAGGTTCAAACATTCACACGGCATTATTTCAGCATTACAACGTTCACCACTTTATTCATCAGGAGTCTCCAGATTCTCCAAGATGTACCGTTCAGCACCAGCAGCACTCCAACCGGCAGATGAGGAAATCGAATATCCGATCTCTGGAAGAGTGCAAGCATGTAGAGTGAAATCACTTGCTTGGTAGCACTTAGTTTCAATCCTAAATTTCTTTGATTCCTTCAATATTGAAAAAGTACCTGTGGTGTGTACTATATAAGCTATGGATGCCTCCAATGAAGTGGTCAATCGGTATGCTGATGTCAATTCTGCCGTCATAGGTACTCCAGCCAGACCAATAACAACTTTTCCTGCAATTTTGATTTCCTCGGCAACATATGAAGTTGAATCTTCGATCCTCATATTTATTTTCATGATAACTTTGGATGCCAGAAATGACACCATCGTTGGGACATAATTTGTAAAATGAGCTACGAAAGTCGTTGACGTATGAGGTCCACTCGCACGTGTCGATCCATGTTTCAGCTGGGCGACAGAAGATTTCGTAACGCCGATCCTCGTGCCTGTTATGGTGTTCACTCTATAGAGAAACGAAACACGATGAACTGAACAAGACCGAGATACCTTCTTGGTGTCGTTCTAGTACTTCATGGGCCGACTCACAATAATGCGAGAGATTGCTTGTCCCCAAGGACAAGCGAAGTTGAACGGCTTATCCCAGTCGTTGAGCCATGCGTTCGAGACTCCCCACAGCAGGAGGAAGGGACCGAGAACGTTCATGACAAGTGAGGCCATCGAGGATTTATTCCCCTGTAGAAAGATCGCCATTTTCAAGAGAACAGGTCTAATGCAAAAATAACAAAATCCTCCTCCATCTTGCGATTGTCTGCAAGTTATGGACGAATGGGCTCGATGTCTCATTAAATCTGACCCATTAAGTTGCTAATAAGACTTTGACATGTTTGCAATATGCAATGGAATGCTGATCCATTATATTGTTACGGGGGGGGGTAACTTCGGGAATCGGACGGCATGAGAGATCGAAAGAACCCAAGGAACGGCCGGGAATTGAAC